CAGAAAATTAATTTTTTAAACACAATTGGTTTGATTGATCTAAAAATAAGATTTAAAAAATTAGTTAATAAAACTTGTGGGGAATTATAAGCATTGACTATATCAAGAACTCAATCTTGTTAATAATCAATCAAATAATTATACAGAGATTAAAACTTTACTACAGTAATTCAATTAATTTTGNAATTAGTTAATAAAACTTGTGGGGAATTATAAGCATTGACTATATCAAGAACTCAAACTTGTTAATAATCAATCAAATAATTATACAGAGATTAAAACTTTACTACAGTAATTCAATTAATTTTGAAAAATAAAGATTTAACATTAAGAACAAAAAATCATAATTACATCAAAATAATTATTTGAATGACCAATCACAACTCCATACCCTACTCTAAAAAATATAAAGAGAACTACTCCTGATCCATAGGTAAATCTCAAAACTAGAAGAAAATAATATAAGCGNCAAAAAATCATAATTACATCAAAATAATTATTTGAATGACCAATCACAACTCCATACCCTAGTCTAAAAAATATAAAGAGAACTACTCATGATCCATAGGTAAATCTCAAAACTAGAAGAAAATAATATAAGAGGTGTCAACTAGGGTCCCATTCTCAACAACTAAGAAGTCTTATTTGTACTAGGGATCTAAAGCACACCCTAGATATATTCAAATACCAAAAAAGATTATATTTCGGTCAAAATTCGTGCGTCAGAGTCAAACGATGTNCTAGGGATCTAAAGCACACCCTAGATATATTCAAATACCAAAAAAGATTATATTTCAGTCAAAACTCGTGCGTCAGAGTGAAACGATATNGATATATTCAAATACCAAAAAAGATTATATTTCGGTCAAAATTCGTGCGTCAGAGTCAAACGATGTGTCTCGATAGTCAAAATCGTGTCCAAATGGAGTAAAATCACTGGACCTAGTCTTTTGGTTGTGTCCAAACAATGTTGGGTCATCTTGATGTGACTCCTTATTGTTTGACATCTTCATATTTGTGTTCGAATGGACTGGCTGCATCCGAACAAAGTTCTTTCCGTGGTTTTGTTTACTTCAACTCATTCTCTTCTTTTTCTAGTGTTTGAGGTGTGTCTAGATGGTTTGGGTGTGTCGGGACTCTCTTCAATCTCTGTCCAACTTCACTTTTTCTTTTCAAATTGTCCCTTTGTAACCACAAGATTCGCGTGTAATATTAACACCGAAGTTATGTCAAAATTACAATTGTNCTCTCTTCAATCTCTGTCCAACTTCACTTTTTCTTTTCAAATTGTCCCTTTGTAACGACAAGATTCGCGTGTAATATTAACACCGAAGTTATGTCAAAATTATAATTATNAAATTGTCCCTTTGTAACCACAAGATTCGCGTGTAATATTAACACCGAAGTTATGTCAAAATTACAATTGTTGATAATTTGACTTAATCTAATAAAGTGGTGTTGACTCTCTTCGGCGTGCTTCTCATGTGCACTTTCCTTTGATTTCTTGGTGGATTTGATGATGATGAGTGCCAGGCCGGTGTGTTTCTCGATATTTGATTTGGTTGTGACTTCGGTTGATTTGGTGAAGACAAGGGCTTGATCAACGTGTTCCTCAATCTTCGATTTAACTTTGACTTTGGTTGATTTGGTGAAGCCAAGGGCTTGATCAACGTGTTTCTTAATTTGGTGATGCTTTGGTAGATTTTTTGAAGACGTGGGTCAGATTGATGTGGTTTTAGTTCTTCGATTTTTGACTTGGTGGATTGGTTGAAAACGAGGATCGAATTAACGTGAATCTCATTCTTCGATCCTTAATTTGGTGGATCTTCTCACTATTCTTTATGTTCAATGGCATGAAGAGATTTAACTTTATGTTGAATGACTTGAAGATGATTTGAATCTTTTGAAGAAAGACTTTGGTGGCTTGCTCTTCTCCCCTTGAGATGGATTTGCATGACTTCGGTCAAGGGTAGACTTTGGCACAGCTTTGTTGCTGATCTTCCCTTCTCCTCCTCAGATGGAGTCAGGCAGAGTTTCTTGATCTTCCCTCCTCCTTGGCCTCTCTTGCTCTTTCTTCTTGGCCCTTTCCTTTAGCTTCTCTTCTAGACCTTTATTTATAGTGGTAAGTATAGTTATCCATATAACGGTGGTAGTTATCCATATAAGGGTACTTTTACCTGATTACCCTTATATGGGATTTAGGCAGTGGGCTGCTCATAAATTTGTAGGGTTTAGTTAATTTATGAAATTTAAGTGTAAGTCACTTTACCTTTTAAAATTTTATTTAATTTGGGCCTATGAAAATTAAGTCCATTTAATTTAATTTAACAAGTCTGATTAATTGTATTTGAGCTTGTATTATTTAGGCTATGAANCTCTAACAGTAGCTACAGAAAATACCATTGTTACAACTATGTGTCCTATATAATAGAAGACAAACGGAGAAAAAAAATTAAGAAACAAGGCTTTGGTCATGCTTACTTTGGAAAATAGCCTTTTTNGGAGTTTGTCTCATTTTGATCCCCAATATTTCAATTGCATCGTTTTAGTCTCTGAAGTATTGAATATGTTTCTATATGATCCCTCAAGCAGACAGTATCCAGATTGCTAATGATTTTTTTTATCATAAATTTGTCATAGGATACTTAAACGTAGACAAAAAAAATAATTTGGATAACTCTTGACCAAATTTTTACTCAAATTTTGGTTAAATACCTACCTTAATTACACAATTTTGATCATGAACTATCCAAATTTTGGTCAAAAGCTACTCATATTACACATTTTTTTGTCAAGAGCTACCCAAATTTTGTTTAAGAGCTATCAAAATTATTTTTTGTTCATATTTAGCTATTACATGACAAGTTTATGATAAAAAATTATTAGCAATCTGGACGCTGTCTACTTGAAGGACCATATAGAAACATATTCAATACTCCAAGGACTAAAATGATGCAATTGAAACATTGAGAACCAAAATGAGATAAACCTCATACTTTAGGGACCTCTAGTGTAATTAACCCTTAATTTAATTTGAGAAGCCTTGTTAATTAAATTTGNACCAAAATGAGATAAACCTCATACTTTAGGGACCTCTAGTGTAATTAACCCTTAATTTAATTTGAGAAGCCTTGTTAATTAAATTTGGGCTAGTATTATTTAGGTTATGGAATTTAGGTCCAGCCGAATATAATTTATCTAATTTATTTGAACTCAATTATAGATATTAATTTGTTAATTTTTTTAGTGTCTACACCTTTCTTCTAACTATATGCTTCCTCCATTGTTTGCTCAACTTGAATCGTTCTATTAATTTTCTAGGTCGCTATATTTACCTACATAATGAGACAACAACTAAAACAAGTATCAAGTTACACATAATAAAATAACAATTTTGATGGTTAGTCAATGATCTCTATTGTTGCTATGGAATAAATTATAAAGGAAAATAAAACTTGAAATGGGCATCTAGAGTAGCAATTTGTTTATGTTAAATGGAAAAAACTTTAACAAGTTGCTCTAACAGTAGCTACAGAAAATACCATTGTTACAACTATGTGTCCTATATAATAGAAGACAAATGGAGAAAAAAAAAATTAAGAAACAAGGCTTTGGTCATGCTTACTTTGGAAAATAGCCTTTCTGGGGTTTCTTAGTCATTTTCTCAGTAATCTTGGTTAATAGTCAAATATATGTAACAATATTCAATAACAATAGAAGTGGTATATTGTTATTTGTTTTCTTAAATTTTTTGGCATACTTTTCAAGATAATTTTTTTTCATCCCTTCGTACCTTATTAAATCCTAATTTCTACTATTGGGAAAAATTCAAAGGGTAGAGAACAAATAAACCCTAATTATTGTCTAACAGTTCAAAATTTACAAAACAATCAAAATCGAAGAAATCAGGTTACCTCTCGATAGGTTAAACCATCCTCTCAATTGACCCTACGAAACGAAAATTGACCTATGCCGTGGTGAAGGGTTCAAATAGGAAAACAATGAAGTCGACGGGGGTGGAGGAGATTTTAGCTGAGGTGGAGTCGACGGGCTTGTTGATTGTTGTCCTTTTCCAGAGCTTGAAGTTAGCCTTTTGATTTCTCTCAAGCACAACAACCATGTGGGGCTTTTTGGGAAGGAGGCTTTTCTTTTCAAAACACCTTTATTGTGATTTGTGAATGAAACTCATGTTTGTCAAAATACATAATTACCCAGAAATTTTGCAAAAATTTTTCACTGGGGGCAAATGTCTAATAAATTTTAAAAATTTTGAAATCATACTTACTCCCCAATGTTTTTTAAAAATTTCAATGCAGCCAGCTGCCCCCTTTGTGGATCCATCGCTGACTATGTGATGGTTCCAAATAACCAATTAGATGCCAGAGACATTTTTTTCCCTAACAATTTTCTTGTTGTAGTGTCTTCATTAAACTTTTTTCTTTGAGAGTTTTCATCAAACATGTGTCAAACAAAGTGTTTGTTTTGCAATATTCGAACAAGCAATTTATTCTTTTTCCTCTTCCTGGCACCCTATTTACACATTCATACCTGTCTTTTTTCTCTTTATTTGGAGTTCATATCTATTAATAGTTCAATGGATGATCAAGAATCTTTGCACTTCTTTTGGCTACATGTATTTGCTAATTCAAAACTACCTTCTGGCATAACATTTTCGGTTTGTTTTGTCCCAAAATACCCAAATCCATCTCCCTCTTTCGAGGTAAAATATCTTCTTCATTACTTCTAAACTTANATTTTCGGTTTGTTTTGTCCCAAAATACCCAAATCCATCTCCCTCTTTCGAGGTAAAATATCTTCTTCATTACTTCTAAACTTATTGAATTCCAAAATTAAATTGTAAAGCTTTCAATGTTTAATATAGTTATGTATATTGCGAGATTTGTCTATATATATATATAAGGGTATAACTCATAAGCCTAAAATCCATTCGAAAACCTCTTGAGAACTAACAAAACAACTCAAAATCTTTTTATTAAACCATGAAGATGTCAAAGATCTCTATCTTGTTCTATTTCATCATTGTTGCCTTTGCGGTGGTTGTTAATGGCACAGAGGTAGACAAAGAAGTTGGGATTTATGAGTTGCAAAAAGATGAATTCTTGGTCAAGTTTACAAATTGGGGTGCAAGCATTATGTCTGTTATTCTTCCGGGCAGAGATGGTATGTACCAATGTGGTCGTTTTCATTTGCAAAGATATTCATTATGTTATTATTTCTTCAAAAAAACTTTTCTGTTTTCTCAGGCGAGTTGGCTGAAGTTGTTCTTGGGTATGATTCTGTTAAGGACTACATGGTGAGATTCCTTTGTATAGGATATTTTCTTGTGCTAAAGTTCTATTTGTTAAATGCAAAACGGTTCCATTCTGGGAGAGAGAGAGAGTCTGTGGTGACACACAATTTAGAATATTTGAGAGTTGATATCAATAGAAATTTTGTCCATTATTACCTTTGGAAAAGAAAAACTTGGTCCACTATGGCGTCTAGCATATTATTGTTGACAAAATATGTTGATTGAAGCCAAAAATTGGTGACATTCTTCAAAACAATAAATGTTGAGTACTTGGTCTTTGGGCATTGTAATGTATCATGAGTTTTGGTCATGAAACAGTATCGCCTTGTGGCATGTTTTCTAAACTCATAGTGACACAAAACTTGTGCTAGCGTGTTTTAACTTTCTTGAAGCAGAGAAAATAGTTCTTTCAATTCGCGATTGCATTTTTCTCTGTGGGAACTATAAAATTCTTGGAAGTAACATTGGACATGTTATTAAAAAACTCACTTTTACAAAAGCCTAGTGAAGCAAAAGATGAGGGTTCCTCCTAAATGTGCAACTTGAGCTTGTTATCTCATATAATGCTAGCAAATAGTACCACCATAACGACCCTATTTTTTTTAGGTTTTTGTTTGTATTTTCTAAATTGATGTGAAAATTTTTGATCAAAACTCTTCAAATACATGCCATTTATTGCAGAATGATTCATCATACTTTGGTGCTACTGTTGGACGGGTTGCTAACAGGATTATTGGTGCTCAATTTACATTATTCGGTGTCACTTATAAGCTAGATGCTAATGCAGGGCCAAACACGCTTCATGGTGCATAAACCTTGTTTTATTTTTTGTTCTCCTCCACTTGCACTGGGTCCATGATTAAAAGGAAAATCACATGCCTTAAATGTTGATCCACTGTCTAGTTAAATAAATTCCTTCATTCGTTTTATGGATGTTGTTATATTGGATAATAGGTGGGTTGAAAGGGTTCAACAATGTTGTTTGGAAGGTAATAGATCATCAGAAGGATAGTGAATCTCCTCGTATTACCTTCTCCTATGGTAGTGCCGATGGTGAAGAAGGTAAATATTTCCACTTAGTTCTTTGCATTCTTTTTTCGCGTAATAGGTTGGCCTCTTTACTAGCTCGATGTGTAGAATGCATTTATACTAGCAATCTTAATCAATAGATTAGGAAAAGTGCATGACATTGTGGGATCATATATACCTAAATATGATGTTCTTCTACATAATCACCATTGTGTTTTAGTATAAATGTTCCTAAAATTTATAATTTTTTATATGTTGTACAGGATTTCCCGGTGATCTTCATGTCACTATGACCTATGTTCTTAGTGGATTTTACAATTTGCAAGTAATAATGGAAGCTATGGCCTTACATAAGGCCACTCTAGTTAGTCTAGCCCAACACACCTACTGGAACCTCGGTGGCCACATTAGTGGCGATATCCTATCTGAGGAGGTTCAGATATTTGCATCCAACAATACCCCAATTATTAAGGCAATCCCCATTGGAGAAATTGTATCCGTGAAGTGTACACCTATAAGACCCTGTATTAAAATTAAATAAGAATAATATTATCTTAATAGTTCCTCGAAGATTAAGAAGATGATGGTAGAAACCTTGAATCATTTTTAAAAGAGTGATCATGAAATTTGAGTTTCGAACGAATTGACTTTAGGGTTAAACTTAGTTTCGAAGGTGTGTTAGCTTGAGAAGGGTGATTAGATAAGTTTTTAAATGCTTTCAGGTCAAAATAATGCCTTCATTGAATCCGGAAGGTCGAAAAACATTGGGAGAGATAATATGGGGTGTATTAGAAGTTAGAAAGTACTTTGAAGTTAAAACCTATTTTGGAGAGGATTTGGGTAGAAAGTAATTTGATACTACCTTAGTATTTTGGCCATAAATTTCTACTCATAACTCTGATGGATCTGATTTTTAGACAGTAGAAACTAGACTTCATGGACTACAACAATGTATTTCATGAAAATTTTCCAAATCAACCTCTAAATAGACCAAAACTGTACTGAAAGTTGCAGCAGACAAAGTGTACCGGTACAACGTACCGGTACTTCGAACTCCAGAAGCTAAATAGTACCGATACACAGTACCGGTACCCTCTGTAAAACCCAGTTCGACCCAATTTCGGGTTTTGTCTCCATTTCTCACCCTATAAATACATTAGGACGCCTTCTTTAACCCCATTTCACCACTTCCAACCTTAGGAAGCTTTAGAGAGAAAGAGAGAAAAAGAAAAAACACAAGATCGAAAGGGAAAAACCAGAGATTTAAGTGTTGATTTAATATCAAAATCCTAGTTCTTCAAGAACACCAATGTAGGAGTTTTCTTCCATTCTTGTCCATTGATGCTAAGACTTATATATATAAGTATGTTTTGACTCCTAATCTTATGTATTTGCTATGGGTTCTTTGTTTCTTGGTTTTCTTGCAATTATTATCATGTTTTAAACAATGTTAGGGTTGAATGCCCATGAAATCCCTTTTTCTTGATTTAAAACCCTAGTTTTCAAGAGTGATGGATTTTCCTTTTGATTCTTCCTTGGTTCTTGATTTCAAAACCTTAGTGCTTTGTGTTGAGTAATAAAATGATATTGATGATGATCTCTTGCATTTTCTTCAATGTTCTATTGAAATGATACATGTGAAAATTTGGGGATTGTTGAAATTACTTGTGCTCTTGAAAATACCCATGGAATTGAGGGTTTTGAAAATTGTTTGTTATTGATGGAATTGTTGGTATTGTATCTCTTATGTGGTTATCTAGATAAACATGGGCTATGATTGACCGGGTATCATAGAGTGGGTAGACGTCTTCTTACTCCGTGTGGGTTTGAACATATCCTACCACTCGTAGTGGAGTTGGTGCCTTGTGAGGATCAAACTACTATTAGCTCATGGGTGTCATGTCAGAGGATTAGTATACTAATGCCTAGTTTGGATTTGTCACTGCCATTGTGTTGGCACATGCCCTTCCCAAAGGTTGGATATCCTTGCAAGGATTTGTGTTTGTGGATATGTGGGACATGATGCTTTCGATGGTGACCATGCTAGATCTTACTTCATACCTGAGATACGAATACAATGGTGGGTTATTGTTCATTGTACCATAAATGGTTTCTACAGGAATCTTGGGAAGTATTAGATTCCGCAAGAACTTGGGAGAAACGGTTTATGGTGGAATGAATTATTAGTCGTATATCGTAGTGGTGGGTTATTGATCATTGTACCAGAAATGGTTTCTACAAGAATCTTAGGAATTATGAGATTCTGCAAGAACTTGGGAGAAACGATTTATGGTGGAATGAGTTACTAGTTGTATATTGGTTTCACTTATACATTAAATTACTGCTGTTGCTTAAACTTGAGATTTGTTTAAATGTCCCTGTTTTATTTCAAAATTCATATATGCTATTTGTGAAAGGTGACTGACCATTTTTATATGCTTTTCTAAACCTTGTTCGAGTTTGGGAGGATTTTTCCTATAGAGTTTAGTGCTTACCCCCTACAAACAAACATTTCTCAGATTATATCCGAGAGGAGGATCTTGGAGGCAATGAGCAGGTATCTTAGGAGACTTCGACAGAAGGGAACATGGATTCCAAGGTGGACGCCTAGAGCGACTTTTCCTTTTTGTTCTAGACTCAATAATTCATTTTGAAACATTGTGAAGTCTAGCTTTCTCTTGTTATTTCGCTGCACTATAACAATTAAATTTTTGAGATGTAAGTGCCATAGTGTGCATATTCTTTTGGGATAATGTTGTAAATATTTTATGAATGATGAATAAAATCTTATTTATTTATGGATCATTTTAGTTGCTCTCATGATCTGAATGGTTTCAAATTGTAATGCCTTCTAAGGTGATTTTTGGGGCATTACAACACTCTATGATTTCCTCGACCCACAAACTATTGACAGCAAGATAAAGGATCTTCCTAATGGTTATGATATAAACTATGTCATTGATGATGACAAAGGCGAAAAGATCAAGCTAGTGGCGATGGTGCATGACAAGAAGTCTGGAAGAGTAATGAAGCTTTTGTCAAATGCACCAGGGGTGCAGTTTTATACCGGCAATTGGATTAAAAATGTGAAGGGGAAAGGTGGATATGTTTATCAAGCTCATGCTAGCTTGTGTTTGGAAACACAAGAGTTCCCTGACTTTGTCAATCACCCTAATTTCCCTTCACATGTTGTTCCAGGAAAGCCTTACAAGCATGTAATGTTGTATGAGTTTTCAATCAATGCTCAATAGGTGATTAGGATCATTAATGTATTGTAATTTCCTATTGATCTGCCTATGACCATGAAATAGGATCATAAATGAATTTATTAGGAGCTATACAAACAAAAGAATACATTGTCATGAAAATTTGTACTTAAATATTCAGGGTATTTTGGGCTTATATTGTATTTTACTATTTCAATTGTAAGGAATTTGAGTGAATTAAGAAATTGTAAAATGTGGAAATAGTTAGAAAATGGTTATTTTTATTTTTTTCAATATTATTTTTGGGGTAAATGGTTATTTGAATTTTTTATTTGACTGAAATTGTGAAAAATAATGCTTCGTGGACCAAAAAATGGGAATTAAAAAAGAGACTAAGGGCATGTTTTGTTCAGGTACAAATAAAGGATAAGATTTGGTAATTAGTTCTCATCCAATCCATAAAATGGTGTTAACAAAAATACTATTTAATCTTATCATTGTATAACAAGTTTGTACAAGGTTGGGGTAATATATAAATTTATAATTATAATACCATATTTATGTTTGAATTAAGTAATAGTGTATTGTATTAAATTAAAAATGACAAAACAAATATTGAGGATACAAATTTGCATAATGTGTAACTTTTATATCAAGGTAAGGATGACAGTAGACCAGGGAAAAATGGGTATTCGTCTAAACCCGCTCCGTTTGGACCAATGATGGATCATACGTATTGAACGATAGACGTATACGAGGATACCCATATAAACCCATGCGATAATAGAGGCTGTGATGGACTGAAATTCCTCCCCTCCACACCTCTACCTTCCCCCGCTAAACCCATGATATATATATATATATATATTATATATATATATATATATGAGGCATTTGATGGTCTTGTTAGTTAACTATTGAGTTATATTTGTTTAACCTCACTCCTTGATAAATCTGTAAAGATTCATCTAGTAAATTCCTTCTAAGTCTTATTTCCTTGGCAGCTAGCTGTACCACCCATTAGGTTTCTCAAACCCTAGCGTAAGTCCCAGAGAGAGGCAAAATAGAGGAGATAGGGGCATAACCTAGGGTATAGGTAGTTAACTGTTGAGTTATATTTGTTTAACCTCACTCCTTGATAAATCTCTAAAGATTCATCCAGTAAATTCCTTGTAAGTCTTATTTCCTTGGCACCTAGCTGTACCACCCATTATGTTATTCAAATCCTTGCGTAAGTGCTAGAGAGAGACAAAATAGAGGAGACAGGGGCATAACCTAGCGTATGTGTATTTAGGTGGGTATGATCATTGAAGTAATATTTATGAGTTATTTACATAGTTGAAAATTTCTAGATTTAAAAAATGAGTAGGTTATTCAACTCTAATTCAATGGCTAGCTCATCCAAAACTTCATTCACTCCATACCATCAATAGTAAATGAAGAAGAACATGAATATCATGAATCACAAATAGATTGGCATGAATGGAATATACCTAGAGTACCATTAAAAGAAATATACAAAACAAGCTGGATACCAATAGCTTTCAAGTTAGAATTATAAGTAAAAACTATTGAACAAGTTTATTCACTTACCAAGGACCATGAAACTTGTCAATTACTTAGAAAAGAATCAGTAAAAAAAGATAGGTCAAAAGGATATAGTTTTATCCATCTTGGCTTAATTCAAGTTGTAGTAAAACCATTGTACAATGCTAGAGTCAATTCCTCAGTCCTATTATGTCTAAGAGATGTCAGGTTTATAGACTATGACACAAGTATCTTAGGGATAACGGAATTAGGACTACATAATGGCCCAGTATATTTTAAATGTTTTCTGGACTTTACTCTAAGTCTCAGTAATCCTAATTTGTTAATTGCTTTGACTTTGAACATAAAAACTTCAGGGCAATTTGCAAACATGATAGACGGTAATCAATCGATAGTATTAATTTATAGAATCTATTACAAATGCTTAACAAAAAAATTTGAATGTTCATGCATTAAGTAAAATTCCAAAGGACAAAACCCTGTTGATACAACCTAGTACAAGTGAAGCAAACATTCAAGTTCCCAAGCAACTCCAATAGAAAGATATAAATCTTCCAGAATGTTGGACGCTTGAAAATGAAAGTTACAATCAAAACCACCAAAATATTACAGTCAATTTAGATGGTATCCAACAGTTTCCTGATGGATCAATAAGAATCTCCTTTAATAGTAAAAGATCTAATAGATCAAGTAAACCACTATAGATTAATGAAGGGAGAAAATCTGAATCTACATATTCTAGTGTGTCTAGAAGAGATAAAGATTTAGCCAAAGAGTCATATAAGAGGTTAAAGTTAAAAGGGAATTGATACATCTTCACAAATTAGTAAGCTATGTTATACTCAGTCAAGGTTTCAAGAAGAAAAAGATGAAAACTCTTTGCCTTCTCTTTCCATGACTAATATGGAAAGTAACGTAGTAAACAAACAATTACTAACATTTGTAAAACAAATGACCTATTCATAATTAATATGGAAATGCTATATGATGAATTCAAGTCTAAAGAGAATAAATCCAAAAGACGAGAATTTAACAATAAATACAGTGATGGTAAACACGAAAGAATATTTGAAAAATGGAGGACTAAGTTTAAGAATGAATTAAGGTGTGAAATCCATTTCTTTAATTACTTAGAAAACCATTACAAATTAGTAAAAGTAGTAACAAAACACAAATGGAAGAAAGAAGATGCTTCCACAGTATCTGCAAGTCATCCTCCAGTAGAAACCATGGTGATTAGTCACAGGAACTCTGAAGTAAAGGCATCACCGTTGAAGTTACCTTCAGGCACTAAACCTAAAAAAAAAATAATTGAGCAAAATAATTTTACCAGTCAATGTTTAAAGACAATTGATAAACAGTTAGATAAAATAGAAACTAAAATTGATGATTTAAAGCCATCATCAAGTAAAAAATTAGAGAAGCCTCTAATACAGTTACCAGAGGACATAAGTAAACTGGGAATTTCTATTAAAGACTGTAAAAGACTTCAAAAATTGAAGAAGTTATCCAAAAGTTAGAAGTAGATCCAACTTCATCCCAAGTTAATATTATACATTAGAATGATGAAAATTCTGAAGATAGTGAATCCCAAGAAACTAGTAAATTAGGAAGTTCTACTGATTTTGAAATCAGAGAATTAGAAGAATAGTTTGATAGTCAAAATCTTAACAAGTTAACATTTTCAAAAGTTTATCCTAATAGTATTACCAATAACTGGTATACTAAACCAACACCTCTTGATCTTCAGTATGAAGAAAGAAATATCAATAATCAGTTTTCAGTTCAATCCAATAAACTCTATGAATGGAACATAGATGGATTAATTGAACAAGAAATATTAAATAAAGTAAACCACATGTCCAAGGTTATCAACAATTATATTAACAATCTTGGTTGTACTGAACCAAATATAATAGATTTAATAACTTCTGGATTCACAAGCATGGTAAAAAATTGTTGGGATAACTACCTTGATCAAGAACTAAGAGATGGCATCAACCATGCTATCAAGTTAGATGAAGATAAAAATATAATTTTTGATGAAAGGATTGGAATAGCAAAACCAGATGGGATAAACACCCTAATCTACACAATAATTAAATATTTTGTTGGTACACCTAGTAATATAACATCTCGAATTCATGATTAGTTAAGTAATTTGAGATGTCCAACACTAAGTGATTTCAGATAGTATAAAGATGTATTCATCTCAAGGGTAATTCTTAGAGAAGACTGTGAAAAGTCTTTTTGGAAAGAAAAATTTATTAATGACTTACCTAATTTGTTTGCACACAAGACTAGACAAACATTAAGTATACCAAAAAGGAATCATTGACTATGATCAACTAACACATGGTGACACAAATCAATTAAGCCCTATAGTAGAAGTAAACACTACTATAAGAAAAGTAAAAAGAATTTTCCAAAAAATAACTATTATGAAAAAATTGGTAGAAACACAAAAGGACTTATAAACATAAAGCCTATAAGAAAAACACAGGTAAAAAAGATATTGAATGTCTTATAAACATAAAACCTACAAGAAAAACACAGTTTAAAAAGATATTGAATGTTTTAATAGTGGTAAGAAAGAACATATCAGTCCAAAATGTCCAGTAAAAAAGAAGTTAAAACAATTAAACTTAGCTGAAGAGGATAGGGAAGAGATCCTAACAATCTTTAAGATAAGTAACTTAAGTCAAAATGAAGATAGCTCAGATGGTTCAAGTAATCCTAAAAATTGTTCATATTATCAGTCAATCTATAGCAATTCAAGTGATTCTCATGTCAAAATAGGATGCAAAGATAATTATTGTAAAACAGTTAAAGTTTTAACCAAACAAACTGAGGAAGAAAACATCCTCATAGAACTTACTAGTAAAATTGAAGATCTATAGTTAAAAGTAAAATATATAAAAAACAATCAAAGATTTATTTGTCAAAAAAGACATTAAACAATCTTTTAGTGAAAAACAACTAATTACCTTCAATAAAACTATGGAGTGATTCAGTAAAGAAAAACAGAAAGAAGTAACCTTACATGATCTCCAAATGGAAGTTAATAAATTAAAACAGGAAATTAAAGAGTTAAAACTACAAGATAAAAAGTTAGAGGAAGCTTTAAACCTTCTCCACACTAGTAACAAATTTAGAAAATCAAGAAGCTTAGCTTCTAGTCAATTTGATAGTCAATCATAAACCAACCCAGATGAGTTACACAGTCCAACCAATACATGCTTGCAGCGAATATTCATAACCTCCATCTTTAATGTGGAACCCTTGAGTGTAATGAAGCTGCCAGCAGACGATGGATGTTCAAAAACAAGTGACGATGATAAGAGGTTAAACTTAATAAACAGGTTAAATCTACAAAAATGGCACTCTAAAGTTAAAATCATAATTGATAATGATTTTGAGATAGAAGTCATAGCCCTTACAGATACTAGTGCATATCTGAATTGCATACAGGAAGGGCTTATACCAACCAAGTATTA